TAAATACATCTCCAGTTTGTATTGCAATTGCGCAAGGTTCAATAATGATGATTTTTCAGTTTTACGTTACTTTCTAATGTATATATTTATTATATCTAAAATCACCTTTCTCTCCTTAGAGTATCATTGAAGGTTATATGAAATGGATGATCTAATGAGAAAGAATTGTTGAATTTTATTTTATTTTCAATTAAACAGTCAAATTCCCTCAAAAGGTTCCTAAAATTTATATTCCTTTTTTATTATTATTATTATTATTATTATTATTTCATTTCCATCATCATTTTCCAAAGAGGATTCCGACCATTGCTTTATTTCTTTCGCTTTTCCCAGCGATCATCATAGGAGGCAATAGACCCATGAACTAACGATAGATGTTTTTCCATGTTTCCTCGACAAAAGCTTTCTCCAACATTGTTTTAAAATAAAAAAAAATTATATAATATATGTTTTAAATTTTATTGGCATATTTACCATTATTACATATATGTATTATAATGTTTTTATTTAAATTCCATTAGGCTACATCAAAAAAGCATATGGTATTAAAAGATCTTCTGAATAACTTCCAAATATAGAGTTACACCGTGGATGAAGCGATATCTTATTAATTTTATTTATTTTATTTTATTTTTTGACAAATATAATAAGAATGATAACAAAAAAAAAAATAAATAAATAAAATAAAAATAATAATAATAATTAAATACTGTCTGAAAAATAATGATTTATAACGGTATTATACTATGGGAAAATTTTAATTTCCAATGAAGTAAACATTCGTTAAAACATTTGCAATCGTCATCATCTCCATCAAAAGAATTCAACAAATCCAACCAAATTAACCTCTCATGTTCAGAGGTATTGAAAGCCTTAGGAATGAACACGTTGAAGAATGGTTGTAACAACACTAAAGCTTTTGCTTGCCTTAATAATTTGATATGTTCAGGCTTATAATAGATCCTTTCATTATAAAGTTTAAACGCAACATTGATAGAGTATTTATATTGTAATGGATTAATGGAGTCATTAAAATAAACTTTGAAGGCTAGTAAATCCTTAAAGCATTTCATGGTTAATTCGGACCTTTCTCCGTAAGTTTGAAGGATGAAATGATAAGCTTTTGGGGTAAGGATAAGTGATTTCTTCCTTGAGACATCGTCTATAATTTCGTTTCTAAAACGTTTCTCAACGATCCGGATCACAATTTCTTCGTGTTGATCTGACCTTGACTTGAGAAATTCAAAGATATTTACTGTCCTAAGGAATCTTTTTGGTTCAAATAACTCGTTAAAAAGTTCGTAGACCAATGAATATGTTGATAAGTCACTTCGAATCCTAGTGAAAGCATCCCATAAAATTTCACCTATTTTACCCAATATCATATATTCAAACCTATGAAAAATATTTATCATAATACAGGTATTTAGTTCAAATCCTGCATTAATCAATTTTGTAAGTCGTATTTGTACTTTTTCGGAAGTGGGAAAGTTCCAATTTAATGAAGAGTATCTTGGAAAGAGTGAGATAAAGGCGAGTTCATTAAAATCAACACAAATCTCTTCGTAACCTATTTCCTTCCATAGGTTAACGAGATTTGGTTTACTTATGATTGCCCTCACGATCGTTTTGATTTGACTTTCACTCTCGTAACCATCCTTGAATGGTTGAACTCCTTGATGGTAATGAAATACATTGTCAAATTTTAATAGGAATGAGTTTGATCTATGTGGGAATGGGATGAACTTAAAGTTTAAAATCAAATTTTCAATTTGTTTTAAATTCTTATTTAAAACTTTTGGATCTGCAAGCGAAACAAATAGGTTCATGTCGTTCCCCTTGATAAGATATTCTTTCGCTTCAAATCTCACATTTCCTTCCTTTAATAGGTAAACAAATGTATCTAAAGGCAAATCACTTGCCCATGTTACTTCAACTTTACGTGGATTTAAATGTTGATTAAAATTGTTCCTAAGTTCATTTAATTTTGAATCTTCCTTTTCATAATAAATTAATAAATTTTGAATCAAATATCTTGACAAGATGACTTTTTTTTCTTCAATTAATTGTTGGCATATGGTTTTATTGATAAAGGTGGGTCCCAATCTTATTCCATGAAAGAGCGCATGAATCTTTCCGAATCGATAAATTAACCATTCAATTTAGCATGCGGATCTTTTGCAACATTTGACCATTCCTTACTACATAATGCCAGATTTAATGGTGAATCGACGTATTTAAAAATATTGATTTTAATTTGAAATTTGAGTGACATTTTCGTTGTATAAAATTGATCCAAAGAGTAATTTTTATGAATTATTTTTTTTATTTCAAATCGGCCATCAACCATTTATAAGTGAGTGACTAAAAAATTGAGTGATACTTTTGACCCTGACTGTTTACCTTCTTTAAATTAATCAACTAACTGTCAGTTCATTGTATATAAATTTTAAAGTTCAATCTCCCTCATTTGGTTAATCGTATATTGTACTTAAAATAAATATCAACGTTCATTAATTCTACTTTGATATAATTACGGAAGTTCGGGCCGGTGGCGAAGAAAAATTCAGGTTTTAAATTCCTTTTTGTTATTCTT